GGATTGATTTACATTGAAGTAATTTAAGCAGCTAGTATAATGTTATAAACCTGCAATAATCAAAGTAATCTAGTTCTAACATAAAAACAGACCAGTGGGTCAATGGAAAAGAACAGAGCCTAGAAGCAAACCCAGACATACGTGGTCTTTGACACAATGGGGGAAAGAAAGTCTCTCCAACTGAGTCCCCACATACAGAAGAGAAAACCTGGACCTTTATCTCACACCATACAGAAAAAGAAATAAAAATAGATCAAAGGCATAAAGACCTCAAACCATAAAACTCCTGGAGGAAATGAGAAACATTTCCCCTCACAGGATGCTTGGATAATTTGTCTATGACACCAAGTACAGGTAGCAAAGCAATAGTGAATAGTTGGGATTATGACAGAGTATGCCATTTCTGCACTGAAAGGGAAATGATCAGGAAAGTAAGACATCAACGGTGTGATGGAGAAAATATTCACAAATCAAATATCTTAGGAATCTTGGCTACCTTCATAGGGGACTCCTATAACTCAATGGCAAAAGTGAATAAATAAATAATAACACAATTTTAAAAAATAAGTAAAAGATTCACACAGACATTTTCCCAATGAAATCACACAAATGGCCATTGGGTACATGAAAGTTGTTCAACTTCTCTAGTTAGAGGCAAATCAAAACCACAGTAAGATGGTATCTCATGCTGGCTACACTGTCCACTATCTCAAAACAAGAAAATAAAAGGGATTAGACACTGAGAGATAAAATGGGAAAGAATAATGGGAAGAATGGTGTAGCCATTATAGGAAACAGTGTAAAAGAACAGTATGAAAGTTCACTATAAAATTCAAAAGAGAGATACTTTATGGCCCATCAACCCTACTCTAATTACAAAATAAATAAATAATAAATATTCCCGAAAGAGTTGAAAACTAGCTCTTGAGGAAAAGCTGTTCATCGTGGTCTTTATTCATCTTGTGTTCAGGATGTGGAAGAGTCTAAAGGTCTAATGGTGGATGAGTGGATGATGAGAAGTGTATGTACACACAATGGAATATTAGTCAATCATAAAAAGAAGAAAATCCTCCTATTTGTAACACGATGAATGAAGCTGGGGATGTTATACTGAACGGAATGAGCCAGACACAGACATCAAAATCCTACATAATCCCACTTATCTGAGGAGCCTAAGAGTCAAATTCATAGAAGGAAAGAGTAGGGCCAGGTGGGAGTGAGTAGCGACAGGGGAAGTATTCAGAAACGGCATAAAATTAAAGTATTGCAAGATGACTAAGGCAGGCCTGGAGATCTATCCTTAGAGTTACAATACTAAATTACATATTTGAATTAACTTTTGCTACCAGAATAGAGCTCATGTTAAATATTCTTATAGCAAATTGATAAAAGCAATAATTAAGAGAGCAGGAGGCATTAGATACATTCAAGGAATTAATTGTGGTGGTGGCTTCAGGGTCATAATCTTATTTCAAAGTCTAGTTGTATATATACAATATTTTTGAACATCAAGACCTCAATGAGAGATCTTTTTACATTTTTTTTTTATTATTAAGAAATTTTCGCCGGGCGGTGGTGGCGCACGCCTTTAATCCCAGCACTCGGGAGGCAGAGGCAGGCGGATCTCTGTGAGTTCGAGGCCAGCCTGGTCTCCAAAGCGAGTTCCAGGAAAGGCGCAAAGCTACACAGAGAAACCCTGTCTCAAAAAAAAAAAAAAAAATTTCTATTCATTTTACATATCAGCCACAGATCCCCTTCCCCTCCCTCCTCCCACCATCCAACCTTCTCTCCCCCCAACCCACACCCCATTCCCACCTCCTCCAAAGCAAGGCTTCCCATGGGGAGTCAGCAGAGCCTGATACACTCAATTGGGGCAGATCCAAGCCCCCGCCCCCATACCAAGGCTGTGTAAGGTGTCCCACAGATTTTCTTAAATATTTAATGAGGCTTTACAGAATGCACTGACTATTACATAGAGTCACTTGTAATAAGTATTTCCTTCATTACATGGTGTCCTTGAAGGTGGAAACAACACCATCCCTACTTTCTGATGGAGGAAACAGCCTTGGCAAGATGACTTGACCTGACCAATGGGATGGCTGCTTTTCAAAACTAACTAGATCTGGAGATCTGACACCAAGAACCGCAGTCTTCCTCCTGAGCCTTGTTCCCTATGGCACATTTCATTCAATAGTTCCTCCATTTGCCATCAGAGAAAGGATGGGAGGGGTGGAAATTGAAATTTGGAGGGACAAGCAGATCAATCTGGGTTTACCTGACCCCTTAGTGGGGACCTAGAACTTCAGTCAGTGTCCTTAAGCCAATCAGTACTGTTTTCCATGTGGCTGGGCAAAATGCATGGAGCAAATAGGGCATGAACGCAGACTTGTTGATTATCTTATTAAGGCAAAAATGACAGATTGAGGCCGGGCGGTGGTGGCGCACGTCTTTAATCCCAGCACTCGGGAGGCAGAGCCAGGTGGATCTCTGTGAGTTCGAGGCCAGCCTGGGCTACCAAGTGAGTTCCAGGAGAGGCGCAAAGCTACACAGAGAAACACTGTCTCGAAAAAACAAAAAACAAAAAAAATGACAGATTGAGTAATCCTGCCTGTCTTGGACCTTCTGAGCACACAGTTGGTGGTCCAGCTCTTCCTTGTCCCTGGGGAGCTCCCAGGACACCACCGGGAGGGACGTATCTTTGTGTTGGAAGACACTAAGATAAGGGAAAGAGGACAGAAGTAATGGAGCAGCGTTCCCAGCGTGGAAGTCTCATAAGGAGGGGTGGAGAGAGGAGACAGTGACTTTCCTCCCTCTCTGGAGACACTGCCCTCCCATTCTCCCCCCCCCCCCCCGCCACAGTGAAAGGGGGTCACTCGGGCTTGGTGGCACTTGCTGGCTCTGCTGCCTTGCCAGCCCAAGTGACCCCCTCCATTGTCAGGGAGAGACATGGAGCAAGCCTCAGAGGCTGATTTTATCACAGGCTGAGACACCTCATTGAGGCCTGAGGCTATCTAACAGATAACCAAAAAACTACTTTGTATCTTCACTTTGTATCTCCTTTTGCCTTCATCTTCCAGGTCTGCTTTCTGCTTAGCTCTGCACACAGGCACGCAATTATTTAAGGAATGTCTATCTGCAAATGGTCACACGGGGGTGATGAGCTCTAAATAAACCCGAGTCAATGATTCCCCTTCAAGCCTGAAGCCCGAGCCAGCTTTGTGAGGACATGTGGGCACTGTCTGCCACCAGCTTTTGTGATACCTGTTCCAGATGCCCCCAGAGCGGTACCTCAAAATTCACAGTGGTTGGTTGCACTGTAACCTTCCAGGAACAGTGAGTCTTACAGGGAGAGCAGCCCATGGTGAGACTCAGGAGCAACTGCCCACACAGGAGGAGTCGCCCGACTCTGGGAACTGACGCTACCCTGGATGACTTCCCTGGAGCCTCCCAGACCCGAACTGAGATGATAACCACCCAGACTACAGGGAGTTAACTGCATTTGTGTGTATTCTTGCCCCTGTTTAATCCTGAAATTATGCAGTACAGCCCCCATAGCCCCCTTTTCTTTCCAACAAGGCAGATGCAAGAGCCCTGGTGCCCATTCTGCTATCGCCGAGATTTCTGCAACATTAAGGGGCTAGTTTACGGGTTGAATCGATTGTCTCTTTAAAAAATTCCTCGTTCTTAGAAATCTACTTGAAGAGATTACTGAAGCATTTCTTCGCTCCTCGCCTTATCCCACTGGAAGGACAACTTAGACTTTTCTTTGTATTGTAACCCTATCCCACAGAGAACTTTCTGAAATGTGCCCCCCTCCCCTACAAAAGCTTCACAGCTTCCTGAGGTTTGGGTTACTCCATGTTCCACACACTCAAAAGATACTTCATACAATGAAAACACTTGGTGTCCTCCCGGGAAAAATCTGCAGGTCTTAACTGCTCCACCGAGCAGGCATTTTTCGACCCCAGAATCCTGGTTTTAGAAACTGATTTTGAGTAATCTCATACAAGACTAGTGGGTACCTGGAAGCCAGCAAATGTTGGTGGCACTGTGACTGATGTATACACCCCAAAGGCCTAGTTTTTGTTGTTTGTTTGGGGGATTTGCCAAAGTCAATGTTTGCCACACTTCTAACTTCAACTCTGCCAAAATTGCGTCCTTGAACAATCAGCAGTGGTTCCTGGCTTGGCTCCCTTTCTGGTGGCACTCGTATGTATTCTCTTGCAGACTTTCGAGTCCGTCAGTGGAGTCCTTCAAATCTTAAAAATGGAATAACTATAAAGCACAGACTTGGACGTAAAGAACCATGGAGCCTTGTACTGTAAACCTTCCGCAGTGCCTTGTTCTGGGACGTTTCAGTGGGAGGGGATTGCTGGGACAGCTTTCCTGAGAAGCTAGAAACTTATGCCCCAACTCGGTCCCCAAAACGGGAAGCCACACACAGAGCGCCCACACTGCCATCCTCCGGCCTCCAGAGTGCTCGCATGGAAGTCCCGGACTGAGTTCTCGCAGGACTCCACAGGACACCTAACCAGCCCTCTCCCTCCCGGCTGACACTGACTGGTCCTGTCTACCTCTGTGCAGCTGGGACCCGGTGGGAACCAGCAGATTCCAGGACCCTAATGAACCGCAGCCAAGGGTGACTGCAACCTAGACTTGGTTTCCCGGAGGCTCGGGTCAGGAGAACCCTCTGGAGTGTACTTTCCTTTCTCTGGAGAGCGCGGCAGCAAGGGCACCCCTTCCCAGGACTGCGTGAAAACCGTCCCAAACCCTAGCAGCGCAAAGCCTGCGCCGCAACCCAAGGACAGCACCCGATGCTTCCGGGACCGGTACCCGCCCGAGAGAAAGTTTACGAGCATTCCCAGCACTCTTGTTTTGTGGCGCCAACGCATAGGACCATCCCGGGGCGCTGACTGGCCCCCAATGGGGGACGCTTCTGCAAACGGGACCTAGTCACTGCGCACGCAGCCTGGCCGAGCGCAGTGGGGATGCAGGCTTACGTCTGGGGCAGGCGGGGCTCCGACGCAATCCTTCCAGCTGCTGCGGGGGGCCTGGAACGTGGACCCGGAGAGGAAGCTACCGGTCCCGGAGGGGCCGGGTCCGACGGCTCCACCTGCAGCCTTCCCCGGAACCTGCACGCAGCCAAGCCCACTCGGTGCGAGGAGGGCGGCGGTAGGAGGGACTTTGCAGGAGAGGTAGCATGGCCCGGGACAGGAGCAGTGGGCTCTCCGCACTGAGCTGACCCGAATGCTAAAGACAACCCTGTCCATGACTGCCAGTGTCCCCGACGCCAAGCCACCGGAGTGGAGGACAGTCCGCCTAGGGACCGGCTGCAGGGCACTGAGCATGCCACTGAGAAGTCCGTGCTCACTGACCCACGGACAGGAAGGAGGTGGCACCCGAGGAAGGCAGGAAGGGACAAGGAGAAAAGGTTTGACTCTGAAGTCACCAGGACTCGGGCCACGCAACCTGTGTGCGGAAGGAGCGCGGGGTGTGGATCTTACCCTCTTTGGGGAGTTAGCTCGGCGACTGCGCTCCTCCGGAGCAAGGGCAGGGGGCCGTTTCGTAAACATATCTTTTTCCTCCGTCCACTCTTATCTCGGTCGCTTTTCTCTGCTCTATGGGAGAGGCACTACGGATGTCTTTCTCCTCACTCGGACAGAAGTTGTACTCAGGGAATGGGAGCCCCATATTTTGTCTGCTGGGCAGACCCCACCCGCAGACCACTCCCTCCCTTCACTCTCTGGGTCCTACCCATAACCCTTAATGACAGTTCCTCCATACCCACCCCTGTCTTCAAAAGTTATTCTTCTAAGGCAGATGGGAAGTCAAGAGTCTACTGCCCCCATCCTCCACACCAGGAAAAAAAAAAAAATCTTAAACTACAGGACAGGAGCAGCAAAGGCCAGACTTTGTTACGGAATGACAGTGTAAAGAGTCACTCTCCTCCTAGTGAATTCTTTTGATCACATCCTAGGACATCCCATCCCTCTAAGCAGGACTCTAGCCAGCCAAGTACCAAAGTGAGTGCCATATAGGCACTGGCAATTCAACGCCAAGTTTGTTGTGTTTGAAACGATGTAAGGTTTTGAAGGCAGGCATTATTTGCATTATGAAAATTGCAAATCTGTCTTCTGCTACAAGTTAAGGGAGGAAACTGCTTTTGGAAGACCCAATCGCTGCTCAGGCTTCATGGACCAGGGAGCGCTGCAGCCTGGGACTGCCTGCCAATAGCATCCCACAGGCTGAATTCAGGGGCCAGCAAACCACACCTGTCCTTCACAGGGAGCCACATTTCTAAGGCAGCAAGGAAGGCACTGGAGACATTCCACTGCAGAGGTGGTATTGCCACTTGAAGACCAAGACGATTGTTAAATGTTTAGCAAAAAAAAAAAAGAAAAAAGAAAACAGAAAAAAAGGATAAAATAAAGGGACCAAAGACTTTAAGTTTTCTTAGACATGATTTTTTTTAGTCCAATTTCAATCAGAATCTTTAAAATTTCAAACACTTTATACTGTTATGTACGGTTATACTGAAATAGTCCATCTCAGTAGACTATGTGACCTGTCCCTTGAACGTCACTGTGTGGACAAGGAGCAGTAATGGGTATTTTCCTTCCAAAAAGACATGCAATCTGAGAAATGCCATACACGTGATGTGTAGTTAAAGAGGCGGACACTGACCGACATCAGTGAGTACTACACTATCTCACGTTTCCTAATTCACAAACCCCACGTGTTATAACACAGCAGCTCCGCCCTAAGCGTTTCACACTCACCCTCTCTAACCCAGAGATGAGAAGCAGCTGCCTTGACATGCCCCAGAGGCTGTGGCGTTTTGTAACTGCGTTCCTACCAAGATGCTGCCTCATCACATATCACCACCCACAGGACACCCATCTGGGAGGCACATCTGTTAGCTGCACCTTGAGGGTCAGAGTTCCTGGGTCTGTGGATGGAGCACTGGGTGGATGTACATCCATTCAGACAACCGTCGCCTGTGAGTCTCTTTCTTTTCCACGTTCTGCCCCCTGGTGGAAGTGTTGTGGGAACTATGAAACTGAAGTAGCTAAATAGCATGGTCTCTCCCTTGATTTTCTGTGCTGTGTTCCTAAAGCTGACTGTACTGATAAGGTAAACATGCCCCCAAACTCCCTTCTAACAGCTCCAGTTATCACGAGTATCAGAACCAGTAGTTGAGGTATTTTTTGCTGCTTGGAGGGAGGAGGGTTAATGAAATAATTAACTTTCATACTGTAAGAAATCAAATGTGTCTTATATTCAAGTTAATTACGAAGAGTGCTCGCTGTGATTTTTAATGACTTACTGGAATTAGTCTTTTAAAAAAGTCACATAAGACTTCAACTTACATTATTTAGAGCTGTGACTTCTGCTAAGCAAGTGTTCTACCACTGAACCAAATCCCTGGCCCCTCAATTTAAAGAAAAACACGTGGCAATACCTGTCTAATGTCTTAAATAATCTTAATTTTCCAAAAATTAACATTTCTGATACCGTTCTGAAAGTCTGTCTAGCATTTCAAACATATATCAAACTAGTTGCATAATTTAAAAGAAAAACACAAAGATTAAGAGACTTATGGGATTCCTGACAAAACAAAATAGCCACATGAGTTTGTCATAGGAAATTTGCTGCACCCTCATCTTGTCTGACCGAGTCTTACGGACAAACAGAACCCTCAGAGTTAAGGATCTCACAGCAAAAAGGATGTCTAATGTTCTGGTGCACCGTTTTGAGGTATGCTTTGACGATAGACAACAGTTATACACCGTACATCTCAAGATGCTAAAATAAATGATTTTGAGAGCTGTTTTTAAAAGAGACTTATAGGAAATTAACTTAAAGGTGGCGAGGGAGAGAATTTGGGTAGAGAAAACTAAAATTAAGGGCCATTTGAGAGAAACCTAATGTTGAAGGTGATCTAAATGAAATCTCCAAATAATGGGGGAGACAGAGTCCCAACTGGCCATCTCGTCACCGAATGGAGCTTCCAGTACTAGGAATGGGTTACTGGGAATGGATATGGGTTGTTGGCCAAAAGGGTCCCACGGGAATGCCCAAACAACCCAGGCTGTTGTCAAGACTATAGGCTGCTCTCCACAAACTAACAGCAAGGCCCCACTGCTGAAGACAGCACCCACACACCTCACTGAACATGGAGAAGTCACATCTGGGCCTACAGAGCCTTCACTCCTATGTTCTAGAGTCTTTGGTACAGGAAGGTACTCAACATGCTACCAAAAGAGAAACATAGGGCTGGAGAGATGGCTCAGAGATTCAGAACACTGACTGTTCTTCCAGAGGTCATGAGTTCAATTCCCAACAACCACATGGTGGTTCATAACCATTTGAAATGAGATCTGGTGCCCTCTTCTGGCATGTAGATATACATGCAGACAGAGCACTGTATACATGAGAGAGAGAGAGAGAGAGAGAGAGAGAGAGAGAGAGAGAGAGAGAGACATAAACACCAAGCAAGATACAAACCCTTTTATCTACAATAGTGTCCTGCCTACAAGATATGCTTGGCCAATGGTGGCACAAAGTTTGTAGGAATAACCAATATCTGATTGAAGGCCTACTCCACGAGATGGAACTCATACTGAACATTGCTTGGGTGACCAAGAACCAGAGACTAGATTGCCTGGAGACCTAGTGTAAAACCAAATACCTCTGTTCTTTAGGGAAGAGAGGGGGAGGGAGAGAGGGAGGGAGGGAGGGAGGGAGAGAGGGAGGAAGGGAGGGAGGGAGACAGAGAGAGAAATAAAATGACTCCTAATGACATTCTGTCATACTCGTAGTGTCTTGCTCAGCCATCATCAGAGAAGCTTCCTCCTGCAGCAGATGGGAACAAATACGGAGACCACAGCCAGATAAAACAGAGTGGAAAGACCTCAGAACACTCAGCCCTAAATGGAATGTCTCCATCAAATTCCTCCTCTCAAGGCTCAGGGAACCCTGCAGCAAAGGAGGCAGATAGAGTGTACTGTGGGATGTCTTTCTGTATGCTGTGAACATGTGTTGCTCTGATTGGTTGATTAATAAAGCTGTTTGGCCAATGGTGAGGCAGAATGAGGTTAGGCGGTACATTCAAACTGGAGAGTCGGGAGAAGAGGTGTGGGGAAGTCGCTTCGAGCTGCCACCGCCAGGAGAAGCAGGATGTGAAAGTACTTGTAAGCCACGAAGCCACGTGGCAAAACATAGATTAATAGAAATGGGTTGAATTAAGTTATAAGAGCTAGTTAATAATGAGCCTAAGCCATAAGCAATATAATTGGTAATTAATATTAAGCCTCTGAGTAATTATTTTATAAGCAGCTGCAGGACCATGGGTGGGAGAGATTCGTCCACACCGCAGGGCCAGGCTGGACCTGAGAAATATCCGTCTACAAGAGTGTAAGAGCCAGAGGGTATAGAGGACACCAAGGACACTTAAAGCAACAGGACCTATGCACATATGAACTAACAGAACTCACAGACTGAGGCAGCACACACAGTCTACACAGGTCTGCACCAGCTGGGGTCCTCCATCCCTGATCCGGAAGAAATCTCCAACTGATAACCACTTGCAGATGGAAATTTAGTTTTTCCAGGGGAGTGTCCCTGGAGAAACGAACTCCTGCATGCCCAGCAGTAGATGGCCAACAGAAAACAAACTTAATAACACTATAAGTTCTTTGTCTTATAATGTCGTATCAGGACTTCCCCCCTTCCCCTCAATACAGGTTGCATATACATTATGGCTTATAGTATTTTTTGTGATTCCTAAGTGTGAATGAGCGGGTCTCTGTTTCTTGTGCCTTTTCTTAAGCTCTTTTCCTGGTTTGTTTCATCCTATTCCAACGTGTTTTTATCTTATTTCGTTTCATTATTGTTCCCTGTATGTTTTCTAATGAGAGACAGAAAGGAGGTAAATCCAGATTGGAGAGGAGAAACTGTAAGTAGCAGAGGGGAAACCATAGTCAGAACATGTTATGTGAGAAAATAAAAATCTGTCCTCAATAAAAGGGGGGGGGGATGCTCTGTTGTACTCTGAGGTGTGAATCCATTTACTAGAGAAGTCTTAAAAGTAGGAGACTGAGCCACTCAGCGACATTTATGTTTTTTAAGCACTCTATGTCAGGAGGCAGAGGCAGGTGGATCTCTGTGAGTTTGAAGCCAGTCTAGTCTACAGAGTGAGTTCCAGGACATCCAGGGCTGTTACACAGAGGAAACCCTGTCTCAAAAACCAAAAAAGAAAAAAGAAAAA